GGACTAAACCTGCCCTCTACTGACTACTCTACATAACAGCAGCCATAGTGACATACTGTATGTAACTCCAGTGTTGAAATATTTATGCAAAACCACTTTTTTCATGCAGACATACAGTTCCAAACTAAAGTTTAAGTCCTCCCCAAAACCAACATTATCTCACACAAACAAAACCAACAGGTTCACCAGGTGTTCATGCTGTTCTTTCTAAAAGCCATGTGAAACCTATTGTCCCCCTTGTGTTCATAAATATTGGTATTGGATTTTCAGCTATATGCACCCCAGCCTTCCCTTATTTCTTTGGTTGAGTGTTTCTACTTTAGATAAATTGAGTCACAAAGTCAGATCAGTTTATTTTTGGTTTCACTCTTTTCATGGGGTTAGTGGACAACAAGCAATAGGGCCTACTGTAGCCTACATGGAGCATCACCAGACTTTTCCCCGAACAGTCTCTCTACACTGACCAGCCATAACATTATGACCATTGACAGTGAAGTGATTAACGTTGACAGTCTCATTACAATGACATCTGTCAGTGTGTGGTGTATATCAGGCAGCAAGTGGACGTTCAGTCCTTGAAGTTGATGTGTTGGAAGCAGGAAAAACGGGCAAGTCCTAAGGATGTGAGTGACAAACAGGGCCATACCCAAAGCTCACTGATGATGAGGTTGACCTACTATAGATTCAACTTTTAAATTTAATTAATCGTTTTCAAAAGATTCCATTTTGTTTGAAATGGTAGAAAAAGAGAAATACTGTGCACTGGCCTGTACGTCGAGAAACATTCACAGGCTATAGTGGTGATATGACATATAGAGTGGGGAGGCTGTTAAATTGGTCTAAAAAATGATCATTGACCATAAGCATGTGGCTGATCGGTGTAAATGTTGCTACGTTTGCCTTTGCAACCGTGCTAACCATTGTAACATGTCTTTTCAAGTTTTACTAGCAAGTAGTATGTTGTGGCTTTTCGTAGAAACCGATGAAAGAAACGTTACAAAACCCCACAGAGGAGCGCGTTATGAAAGCTGAGGCGGGAACTATCTTAACCATTTTATAATCTTTGCAACCGCCCAGTCACGTTTCCAGTTGTTTTGTAAGTGTCAAGGAACTATGTAACATCTACACGAGCAGGAAGCAAGTGTAATTTAACAGCTTCTGCATTTTTACCTTTGGACCACGGCTGCCTTACACATCGTATTTATTTAGCCACCAAATACTCGAACCTTAAGGAATTTGTGCAGCGCAGTGCGGCCGCCCAACCTGGGAGTGTCTGTGGACAGTGACCGCCGAGATAAGACCCTGCCCGCCCAGCTCTTATATCACAGTGTTCCAGCGTGTCCGAGGCTCGTCACAGTGCATGGTTTTACACAGTGTGAAGGAGCTGACCGCTAACGGGGTAAGTAGCTTAGTATATATAATCCTACGAGGAAACTTTGCGCAGAGCCTTCTGGCGCTGTATGACCTCCGCAAGTGGTCAAAAGTAAACTTTATAAATTCACGTTTCTCTTTGCATTTCCATACATTCCGTAGCTTACAGCCATTTTAACAAATTCTTTTCAAGATATCATGAAAGTCAACTTCAAGGTTTGGCTTATTTACATCAGCCTCATGTAAATGAAGCGACGTGAAAACTTTTCTAGTGCACTTGAATTATATCATGTAGTAAATCTGGAACAGATCTTTACTGGACTAAAATAAGTTCGTCCAATGGGCCTATAATCTATCTTTATTTTAGGTTAAAGCAGCTGTACTCAATATTATTTATGTCAACAGTGAATTACATCACTACCACTAGGGGCGACTGTGATTCAGTGGGTAGGGCAGTAGTCTCCCAACCGGAAGGTTAGGGGTTCGAATAAAGGTGATTACCTTGATTATTATGTTTAGTGAAAATCCTACAGTATTATCACCAGCAGATGCAACAGCATTACAAGGCTTTGCAGCCTCTTTCAGCTCATTGTTTTGGTTTTATGGCCAAGTTGACTGTTTTGATTCACTCGTACTAATCTCATAGCAGCATTCTTGGCAGCATCATGCATTCGTTGTAAAAACCTACACCTACTCTAGCAACAAAGAGGCATACACTGGGTGGAGAACACAGTGGAGCTTTCAGCTT